CTTCCTTCCTTCCTTCCTTCCTTCCTTCCTTCCTTCCTTCCTTCTCTCCCCGCCTCTCAGAGGCAGGGCGATTGATGAGTGGTGGGCCGGGAAAGCATGGTGCGGACAGACGGGGCAAGTGACCGAGTGGCGACCGGATGGGCGTGGGGAGCGAGTGGCAACTGGACGGGCGGGGGGAGCGAGCAAGGGGGTGCAGGTGGGAGGGAGTGTTCTGATACTGTCCCACCAGATGAACGGGTTCTAAAAGGTACAGTAAATTTGATGAACCCCTTCTGGTGTATGGGTGTGAACTGGGAGCAACCCACCCCTGCGATATAGTTTTTGATGCAAAGCTCTTGCATCTTGGTAGTAAGGAGAACTATATATTCTTTACATTGCATAACTTATATCATTTTTCATTTCAAAGGATTTTACCTGCGCAGAGGTCTAAGTCTGTATAGTTGGTTAGTTTGATTTAGCACTAACAAACAGGTTTTGCAAGAAGAAGATCCCTAATTAAAACTGGGATTCCGCTATGGAATTTAAAACACTGTTCAGTTTGGCTTACTGTAAGTTCCTTCATATGTCCTAATAATGAATGTTTATGTTAGGGGACACTTATATGAGGCATTTGTATCACTTTCTTTATTGAAGATATGTGCTGTTCCCAAAAGGCTTTTTCTGTGAACTAAAAAGTAAAGCAATTATTTTAGATCATCCAATGCAGTGATTTTTTTTAAAATAATGCTTCAATTTAATGTTTCATTCACATTTCAGAGAAAATGGTGATTGTCATCTTATATTTATAAAAAAGCTGACTAGAATGTCAAAATCAGTCCAGCTATTGTTTATTCCCATGTAGAAATTTTATATAACATGGACTTTTTTCAAAGCATATTGGCTATGTTTACATTCCATTAATTTCAACTGGCTTAAAACTCAGTTTCAACACACTTCCAACCTTCCCTCTTTACTTGGAACAATAAGTTTCAGATAAACATATAATGAACTTTAAAACTGTTCTATTCCTCTTATCCAATAGATTAGGCACAATGAATTCCATGTCCTCCTTGCTTAAAAATGTTGTTTTTAATTGTTCTGGGATATTTTTTTTTCTTCTTAAGCGGTTATTCCTTGAAATCCTAGATACCAAAATAAAACTGACATAGAACATTTTTAAAAACTGGATTTAGAGGGAAAGCAAAAATATTTGGCACGGAGAAATCAGAATTTCTGGCAGCTTACCATGAATACTTGTCTGGCATTTTCATCATATACTGCATATCTGCACAATTCTTAGAAGGTTAGGTTAGTGCCAAGTATTGAATATTGTATTTATAAATAATTAAAAGTTGTACCTAGATAACCACTTTGTTGTTGATGTGAGAAGCAGGGAAAGAAAAAAAACCATACCGAACTCTCTAGTATCAATCCAGGAAGAATTATCCCAGGAATTCTTGGGCAACAGCTTCCTTGGGTTTGTGCCAATTTATCTTAACTTTTGGATGGAGTTTTCCTTTTAGTAGAGGAAAGACAAAAACATGTCCTGATTATTTCTTTACACGACTAAAAGGAAAATTTGGATCAGGAATGGATTTAATACCTGGATGCCAAAGATAAAAACATTCCAAGATTAGATGAAAATGAAGTAAAACCGCACTATTCATGGAAGCACTAAAATGTATCTCTTCAAGATGGGTTTCAAGGACAACTAGCTGCGAATGGAATGCAGCTGCATACCAAACATACGCCTGAAATAAATGTTCTGAAAACATCTTGTATGAATTTGATTGGGATCTCCATGATGGGAGGCAACTAAGAGAGGGAAAAGTTAGACATGGAGATTTTGGCGCATGATTGCCAGTTCTGGCTATGCATTACTGTAATTCACTTGACTTCTAGCAAACTATACCTTTCTTGATAAATAGTGTTAAGGATCAGTCTTACTTAGAGGTTCAATAGAGTTAGCGACATCTTCAGCAAATGTAAATGATGCCAAATGATAATAATCATAGAAATTCTATGATGGTGTTCTTGTCTTATATCTTGCCAGATATAAATGCATACATTACAGCATGTGAAGACTGATTGAAGTAATCCACTTGTAATGTTATTAAGATGCATACTCTTCACGCTGGGCTAGAGTTGTAGCTGAGAATGGAGAAAGGGCCTCCTTATCATACTATGGAATTAGGGAGAGCCCTTAAGTTATATATCTATTCCTTTAGAGATAATGTTCTAGCTTTCAAAGCAAGTCCTAGTTCTTAGGCTGGGCAATCTTCTATCACTATCGTATTTGAATTGAGGTTTAATTTGCCAACTCTCTTCTAGTCAATCAGTGCCTCTTGGTCAAAAAGAAAGAGAGGCTTCAATTTATGTGAGAAACTGTCAGTATTTCTTTAATATAGGAAGGCTCTTGCTTCTAGCTCAGCAGGAAGGAACAAAAATACTAGGGAGAAAATTCCAGCTATAGGCATTATTATTAAAAAAATAATGTTTTCTTCCGTACTATCTGATTTCTAAAGCTCCTGGTTTGGACATCAGTATGCACAAGGCCTCTGGGTAAAAAATACCTCTTATGCAAATTAGCAAGGAGAAACAGCATGCCTTTTTTTAAGCGGAGTATACAACTGAAGATCTAGGAAAAATATTTTATTTTAGGACATAGAGTCATATTAAATAAATGGTTATATGATTAAATAAACAGTGAGAACAATCAAACCAATATTAAGAACATCTTTCTGTGTCCTGTTGATTTTAGTAGGAATAAACTTTTATTGTTGGAGCTTAATTTTGATTGTGACTCTGAGATTATAAGCTACCAATTATTGTACTAAACTGAATAACTGCATAAAAGCATGTTTTAGCTACAGCATTTTCGGTTCATCTCAAAGGTTGAAAATTATAAAATTGACTGCTTAGGTAATTGCAGTTTTAATAGGGAAATCAGATTAATTAAAGTGACATAAATTGCTGTTTTTGACAGATGACATAAATTAAGTTAGAAAATAAAATTGGAGAATGATGTGTGATAGATATCTAGGATTCACACCATATAAAGATTTAAGATAATAACTAGCATCTAAATTGTACTTGGAAGCCAACTGGCAAGGAAGCGCCCACAGCAGAGGTATTATCTATACCAAATAGACAAAATCTGTCAGCACATAAGTTGCTGTATTTTGAATCAGTTGTAACTCCCAGAGAACTAAGGTAGATATAAAGTGCATGAAAAACTGTCAATAAAACCTTTTGCTCCAAAAGCAGTAGAAATTGGAGCACAACTGGAACTGTGCAAAGGCTCTACTAGCCACCCACTCATCCAAGGTTACATGTCTGGTAGTGAAAAACTACTTTTAACTGCCTGTAAAATTTCCCAAACATATATTTCCTTGATCTGGGGTCATTGCTGGTTTAAATTGCATAACCCAGGGTGTTTTAGAAAGGGGAACATTTCAACCTCTTAGATTTTGGTAGCACAAGGCATTATAATTGTCCTTAACCACAATTACAGATAGACTTGGCATACTGTAGCACCAGCCAGAATTTGATGGCCAGCTTTCTGGATCCTGAGATTAAGCAGCTGAACCCAGTAAGGAGATTTTGTTCCTTGTAAAGCCCCATTGCATGCTTCCCATTATCTATCATCATCCCTTCCTTTCCATTCCCTGCATGCCATTATTGGCAGAGTACATTTCAAAGCTAACCATATCTTCCCTAGCAAATTCCAAAATCACAACCTCAATATCAGTCTCTCTATAGATGCACTT